GTTGTGGTGCTGGTAAAGATGACTTCTTTTCAGGTTGTTGTGGAAACCTTCCAGGTTGTTGTTGGTCCTCGACCAGTAGGAGAATGGGGTCGAGACGGGATAGATTCTGCTAGGGTTAAGTTCCTTCAGGGCAGGACTAAGCCAGTAGAATAGAAGTTCCCTTGGCCGCCCAAACTATTTGTTGGAGATCAAAACAGTCCAGTTTTATCATGACGTCACAGACATTTAGTCCACCTTGATTATATGGTAATTTCATGGTGTCTCTGGTGATGGCCTCGTATTTGCCATCCCAGAGAAAATTATGTATAACGGAATTTAGGTCATTTACTGTAGTTTTATTAATTTGCCCACATACCACATTTGAGAGAGTATGAATGTATTTAGGATGTGGAGTTTCTCTTTACAGACTAGACTGCGGTTTTTCATTTTATGAGAGTTCTCCTGATATGGTTTAAGATAGGATTCCAGTTTGTTTTAAGATTGTTGAGGCCGAAATATATTCCCAGGAGTTTAATCTGGGGTTTTTTGTATTGGATGAGCAGGTTCGGTATGTTCGATTTTTTTGTTCATGGTGTTTTGTAACAACTTGATTTCAGAAGCACCAAAATTCTGTTATTTGCATAATGTGCTCGTCAAGTATCGTGGTATTTAACTTCCACTTGCCTTTGTCCCACCGGCTTGACCCTGGCCCCAACTCTACAGTTAGAGATTTATGATCGGAGTATCGGGTATTAGTATGTATAATTTTTTCATGGAATTTAGATAATGTTTGGAAAGATAAAGACGGTCGATACGATATAGAGACAAATTGCCGATATCAACCCACGTTATTATTGTTTGAAATATGCCTTCCAAAATTGGCCAGTTTTTCACCTACAACTTTCAGTTTTACAAGTAAAAAAAAAACAAAAATATCGAAACTTAGGAGGCCTTAACGTGATGTGGACAGTGCGGTGGCTAACAGTAAAGTGAGTCAGGATCTATAGCTGCTCATCTGTGAACACTTTAACAGTTTCTCATCTCAAATATCTCCAAGTCTTCTTTGATAGGCTTATATGAATTACATAATTATGTCAATATCACAACAACCCAACTTTATGAATTTAACATTGATGTTACAATTAAGACTCATAGTGTTGGGTCATCCCAATATATCTAAAGGTGAGTGCTTTTACCCCCTACTCAACTGTATGACTATTGGCAATAATAACGTGTATGACTTATGACATGTTAAGACCATGGACTGTCAGCACTTAACGTTTCACTTTTTCAAATTTTAAGGGGATTAAAAAATTTCAAGCTAAGTGTGTTGATTTTGCAATGATAAAGTCAAGAATCCATGTTCCCAAGTTGGAATTCTGTCAGATTGCTTGTATCAGGTGCCGAAAATATGGAACTAAAATATTCGCGCCTCTTGCCGAGAGTGTGACCTGTTTCTAAATATTAGACCGATATCAAACCAATCAAATGACGTTATTCTTATATATAACTCCGTTAACCTTTTCTAGTTCGGCTAGGTCAACTTTCTGTAAACAATCTGACCGACAAAATGAATCGAAAGACCATGCAAAAGATATTCTTTCTTCAGAAACTTGTTGCACAAGAGCCGTATCTTTTGTAAAGAATACATTTATCTGGGGCGCTGGGAAAAGTGAAATTCAGAAAGTTGTATTTACAGGTAAGAAAATGAAAGTGGATTTTTCCATTGGTTTGTTGACATTTTTGTTTTGGTAGCTCGTTAGGAATATTTACTAGAAAAACTGGAACACTTTGAGCTTTTGATTATCTGTAAAATTAATGTGCAGTTTTAAAATCTAATGTTATTTTAAAATATAGATATATAGCCAAAAGTAAGGTTGAGTCAACTTGATATCGTCGTAGAAGGCTTAATCAAAATTTTTGTGTCTGCGTTATGCCAACTTTGTTTTTTCGTAGGGACCGTGATTGCATTATTTTGATGATTTTTTTTTTATATGGTTTTTAAATACATGTGGGGTATAGATAAACTTCTACCTGTTATGGAAATAACAATTCTTGTAAAGAATTGTTTTATCAATAATATATAGGCAACCACTCTCAACTTTGAGTTTGATTGTAAATTCTTAAATCATTAGGCCTACATAAATATCAGGGTATGTGCATCATTATAGAGTTGTTGTAAATTTATTGAAAAATAATACATATGCATTTACAACTGTCAATTACAAGCAATTTTGTCCCATAGAACAGGTTGTAATATGAATATAAAAAAATAATTATAGAGTAGAGTTTTATTGTAGAGTATTATGTATATCTAAATTTTTTGATTATTGCTTAAACTTTATTTATTACCCATTTTCTTCAGGTTTGATTCAAAACCGTATTTATATGAGAAAACATTAACGATTGATGAAAACAAATGGTTACTGGTAAAGAACAATATATCTTTGTTAAAATCATTAACAGATGTTAAATACATAGATGGAAGTTCTGTACACATTGGCTGGACTACAAATTACAGGTATTTTATAAAATACGTATATCTAAGATATGTATATCTAACTTCAATTCTTTAGTTCAAGTGGTATCTAGTCATTAAGTAATCATAATGGTGCAAGTTTGTTTGTTAGGGCTGTTGCTATGAAGTCGTTGTTCGTGAATGCGCTCATCCTTGTTGACTACATCCCCTGTGGACAGCCCTTTGCCATTTAGAAAACCTGAGATTTCCACCTCCTTATTTTCTCCCTCTGAAATTAGACTATGTCTAATCACATTCTTTTAAATATTATCAAGAGGTGCATTTTTCTCTAAATAACGCCCCTCCCCTTTTTTCAACTCCAATGGAAAATGTCTTTATTTTATTTTAGTACATTTGCTTGGAATAGATTAAAAGTGAAATGTTAATGAAGCATATAAGAAAATGTTTAGTTTAAGTACAGCCAGTGAGAATATTTAATCACCTACATAGTGTTATGGTCAACAACATTTTGAAGCAGAGTCTCGTGGACTGTAGTGAATGATAATTGATTCATTATTTGGATAGAAATGGATCTTGCCAATTCAAGTTTATGTGATTGTAATGTTTATTGTAAATGTAATAAAAGTTGAGAAAAGAAAAGGTTCTTCGGATTTTTTCTTTCACTGATTACTTTGGTCGTGTGAACGGCTCAAATTGGAAACTGAGAGATTCAGAAGAGGATCGGTGTATGTTTGATGTATTAATACTATTTTTTAACTATTCTTCTCATCTGTAAGGATCAAAGAGACAACAGTGTTTATCCATTTTGATGATATTTTAAATAAATATGTATGATGATGATACCATGGTAATGTATGAATTTGATGATAAACTGTTTTTGAGATATTGCCTTGATATCTTAAGATTACGAGAAAAACCATTTTCAAGACACCAAAGACTTTATCATTGCTGACATTCCATCAAACAGGGCCTAGACTCTGCTCCAACCGACAAATTAGCAGGGGGTGTGCACATGAGATGTCAGTGTGCGCCACAGTCTGCACTCTTCAAAGATTCTCAACAGCAGAAATCTAAAATGAGTTTGCGAGATGTTGCAGGTCTTCATTACCTCATTCGGGTGTAGAAAAGTAGGACGTAAAACTTCGAATTACATTTAAATTATTATGTAATTTTTAAACTTTGAAAATATATTCTGATCTGCCAAAAAGTTTATAAGCTTGTATTTGGAATTTATGATCTTCGACCCGGCTTTTTGTTCGATTTTAAATTAAGTTTTAAGATCCCATCAGATTACTGTATTTCTTTAAATCTGGATTTAATCTCAATTAAGTTTTGGAGAAAAAGATCCCTGGTTCACAAATAAAACGTTCTAAGTTTGAAATCAAAATTTAAAACCTCTTTTATTAATCGTGCCCACAACTTTGAACAAAACTTAATTTAAGTGAGTCGATTAGAGAGAGAGTGTTGCCACCGTTCTTCATCATTCCAGCTATAAATGGATACGGATAATATAGAAAAGTTTTATTTTTGATCAAGGAACAGAAGTTTGTACTCTTGTAAAATATGGTTGTTCTGCATTTCATAAGACGAGTGCTTTTTCATCTTATACACGATAATTAAACTTGAGGTGTTAATTAGGAAGAAAATCAATAGATTTGGTAAATCAAAACCTCTCTTTTCTGTCATCAAATCCTTAAGTCATACGACTATTTTATATATAACCAAAAATTAACATTAGTTCTATTGATTTATTTAATAATAATACGGCAGCACATATAAATTGAGAACTATTTCCCCTTAGTACCCTTAGTTGGTCTTTCTGTCAGCTTCCTAAAGATTACCATCAACTTTGGTGTTGTTAAAATACAAATTAGTTGACCAACGTTCCGAAAATAGGAATATAAACATAAATGAAAAGGTTCAAATGTCAGAGATGTAAGAAAAAAAGCAATTAAGAGTGGGAATTTCGGTTTTCTGTAGATTCCATGTTAATATTTACTTCCACTATAAATAAGAAAGATGATTACAATTAACTAATATATTATTTGGGGATGGATGGATCGAGAGTCAGAAAGTTTTTCTGCAAGGCGATTAAGACTTATAGATTAGTTGCATCCAGTCTTAGGTAAACAATTTAATGTCTCTCAATCCATATTGAAATATTTGCATCTAATCAAATTCACTTAGTTAAAGAGCTGCAAGTCGTTGCAGCTTTTATTTTGAATAGATCTATTGGATGTAAATGTCATCCCTTGTCTATGGCATTACGTGTGAGCATTCTCAAAGCTAGATCTTTCTACCAAAGCCATAAATCAGTCTGATTATTTATCATACTGATTGATTTTTATTTGAGAATCATAAGCCAGCTATGGTTGCGAAATACCGGTTAGTAAATCATATAATCAGACTACTCTATTTCTTTGTTATGAAAACACCCCCGCAGTTTGCAAACTACAAGTCATTTGTATTGGCTATTAACGAAGTTATGTTGTATATAGAGTATATTGCTGGTCAAACTAGAAGATAAAATAATGAATGATATTTACCTGCAGCAGAATCTGACCTTATAATCTTCGCATTTTCCATCTAACTGGTTTTCATTCTTGCAAGAAAATCCATAACGTGGGCCGATAACTACAACTTCACCACTTGTAGAATAATCCTTGCCATTCAAAAGTCTAGCATCAATACCAATAGGCTCTCGACAGACTCTTCGACCATATTCCTTTCTGATTTTAAACAAAGTCTCCAGGTCAAAATCGTCGGATGGAGTATCTCGGTTGAAAAATTCTGTCCAGTAACCTTTACAGGGTGGCCCGTTATATTCTGTAGAGAAAAAAGCCATTGCAAAATTTTGTTTGTTTCTGAAAGATTAATTCAAATGATACAAAATAATTGACTCGTGAGCGTTTGTGAAACTAATTTTCATGTCGGCTGTCTTTTCTAATTTAAAATATAACCTTTATGTCACTAAAGGGTCAGTTTTGAAATATGGAAAGTTTTGAAAAGCTAAATAAAATGCTGCGTTGCCTATACTTATTTAGGACAACCCTTCTATAGCATTTACCGATATTATACTTAGTAATTTACAGAAAAATAAAATTTGGAACCACTCTGCAACAATATTACACTTACTGACTACAAATCTGGGGATCTAAGAACTGGCTACAACCTGGGGATCTAAGAATTGACTAAACATCTGCGGATCTAAGAACTGACTACAAACCTGGGGATCTAAGAATTAACTAAACATCTGCGGATCTAAGAACTGACTACAAACCTGGGGATCTAAGAATTGACTAAACATCTGCGGATCTAAGAACTGGCTACAAATCTGTGGATCTAAGAACTGACTAAACATCTGCGGATCTAAGAACTGGCTACAAATCTTGGATCTAATAACTGACTACAAATCTGCGGATCTAAGAACTGACTAAACATCTGCGGATCTAAGAACTGGCTACAATCTGTGGATCTAAGAACTGACTAAACATCTGCGGATCTGAGAACTGACTACAAATCTTGGATCTAATAACTGACTACAAATCTGCGGATCTAAGAACTGACTACAAATCATGGGATCTAAGAACTGACTAAAAATCTGCGGATCTAAGAACTGGCTACAAATCTGTGGATCAAAGAACTGGCTACAAATCTGTGGATCAAATAACTGACTACAAATCTGGGGATCTAAAAACTGACTACAAATCATGGGATCTAAGAACTGACTAAAAATCTGCGGATCTAAGAACTGACTACAAATCTGCGGAAAAAGATTATTTACTCTTTCTATGGACACCTTTTCATTCATCTTGTAATATCCAAGATGGCATTTCATAACTACCACAATTATATAGATTGCAGGTTAGATCAATTTTGTACAATGATGAAAGAATACAAAAATTTCACCTTTCTGACAGCAAAATCTAACTTCATAATCTTCGCATTCGTTGTCTGGTTGGTCTTCATTCTTACAAGTTAATCCATACGATGGACCGATTGCCAGTATATCTCCACTAGTAGAATGATCCATGCCATTCGATATCAATCTAGCGTCAATATCAGTAGGACAAGAGCAGATATCATTAGGGTTCTTCTTTTGTATTTTTAACAAACGTTCGTCGTCATATTCTCCGCTTGGATTGTCGATGTTAAAGAATCGGGTCCAATAACCAACACATGGTGGGTCTTCAAATTGCGTCGAAAAAAGGACATGCAAAGGAAGTAAAAAAATAACGCAGTATGTTATTAAATGATGTGGATAGGTGTTCGATGAATTCAGCCAACAGATTGTTTCCTTACATGTATATGGCACATGAAGATCTCATCATTACAGGTTCGGGCACACGAGCGGTCTTGGTCGGAGATTTTAGTCTCCGACTCGAATCTTGAGTAAAATCTAACGTGTGTCCATGCTTCCACGACAAGATTATCGTGTCGCCGACAGAATTTATAATATCAAGCAAGTTTGATAATTGTCCCCGATAGTTTTATCTTCTGCAAGACAGACCGTCATCATCCAATCAGATTCCTTTTCTTTTCAATTGCATGATCCACACGTGATTATCGACAAGGTGGAAAACAACCGACTAGAGATTTCTGTCTCCTCGTGTGCCACTCGTTGAAACTCAAGCCAAGAATCTAATCGGCGACAAAAGTCTCCAACCGAGACCCTCTTGTGCCCGCTCCTTAATATACTGACGATTGAGAATTAATTATGAATTATCCTATTATCCTCAATTTATTCTTTAGTTTATCTTTTATTTTAGCATTCAAACACCAATTATGAAGTGGAAAATAGCAAATAAAACATTTCACTGCAATTACATTGACAAAGTCTGGCAAGAATTAGACTTTGGATAATAAAGGCGGTCAACGCCAGGCAGTGCGCAATACGAAAAAAATGGTCAGTACGGTGATTTAGCCTCTTTTTTCTAATTTCAACTGTGAATCAGATATTTTAAGTGCATAGTTTGCATAATTTTAAAAAAAAAATAATGCACAATCTGACAACATATTAGATTTTTGCAATGAAATCGTTTACCTTCTCTACAGCAGAATCTGATTTTATAATCGTCACATTTGTTGCCTCCAATTTGATTTTCATCTTTACAGGTAATTCCGAACTTTTCGACAGTAACTAAATCATCGCTAGTGGAATAATCTTTGCCATTTTTCAATCTGGCATCCATACTTATAGGATACTGACAAACTTGATTAGGATTCTCATTTAGGATGCCGTCCAAATTTTCCGCTTCTATACCGTCATTTGGATCATCGATATCAAAGAATTGTGTCCAGTGCCCAGCACAATATGGTTCTTTAGGTTCTAAACAAAGAAGCAGAAACGTGAACAAATATAAAACTTGCTTATTGATTTTTCTTTTTGTGGAATTAAGACGTTTCATATCAATTTTGAGATTAAAAATCCTTCCAACTTTTTGAGAACATGATTGGCTTATATTTCAATTAACTGTTTTATCTTCCAATATCAAAAGCAACGTATACACTATAGCAGCTTAAAATTTTGGACATGTAGTGTGGTTTTATAATAAAATATTGTACATATTTTAAAACATAATGTATTTAATTTACCTTCCTTGCAGCAGAATCTGACTTTATAGTCTTCACATTGATGATCAGCCTGTTCTGAATTTGAACAGGTTAGTCCATACATTTTCCCAACAGTTACTTTATCACCGCTAGTAGAATAATCTCTGCCATTCAGTAATCTTGCATCAATACCGGTAGGAGACTGACAGATTTCATCAGGGTATTGATCTTGGATTGCAGATAACGTTTCGTTCTGGTGTTCATTGGATGGATCACCCAGGTTAAAGTAAGAAGTCCAACATCCATCACATGGTGGATCTTCATGTTCTAAATACGATATTGAAAACGACCAAAAGATATATTGAAAAAAGATTCGGTAGATTAAGAAATGAACATTAATCTCTTTCAGACATTTATTTCCATTACAATGTATCCAATTGAAAATTTTGTGCTAATGTCTTACACCAGGATTGTATATTTTATGTACATGTATATTACCTGTCTGACAGCAGAATCTGACTTCATAATCTTCGCATGTGCCATCTGGCTGGTCTGAATTCACACAGATTAGTCCAAACAAAGGCCCCATTTTCAAAACATCACCACTCGTTTTAAAATCTTCGCCATCCTTCAATTTAGCATCAATACCGATTGGATAAGAGCAGACATCATGAGGGTACATCTCTTGAATTTCAGACAACATTTCTCGGTCGGATTCAACGTGTGGATCATCAATATTATAGAATGGCGTCCATTTTCCAGCACAAGGTTTATCTTGACATAAAAAAGGAAAATGATAAATATGCCAGAAACAGTGTATTATGGAAGGAGATTCGAAATTATGGAAAATTCGAAAGAGAAGAGCATCTGTCATATTTTAAAATTTAGATTGAAATTTTAATAGGCAATTAGTCACAAAAAAATACTGATTAAAATCTTTTGTTCATTTAATTAAAATTACGTAGCAATTCAGACTGTGTTAGATTATTAAGGTAACACAGACAGCCGAAAGTTGCCATATTCTTCTAAATTTGACTGAAAATTCTAACGAAAAATATACTATTTTATTCTTCGGGGCTTACATTTTGTTAACATCAAAAGGATAGGTCATGTGATTTATAACTCATTTTCGAATGGATAAAAATCATATCTCGGCAACAATAATGAAATGAAGAATTAATGAAACTAATTCCGGCAACATGTGGCCGAATGTTTCCATTCCGTACCGACTAACCTTTTAGACAACGTGGCATCTAACGAACACGTTGCCCAAAATACTGTCAGTGTGTACAGTACTGTGTGTAGAAGTGTGTTTATTGTCAAGTGACAAATGTATAGATACACCAAATACGAATATTATCTTCGCAGTTAACCCTCTTGGTACCGGGATATTTTTTTAAATATGTCATTACGGGCCCGGGTTAATTATTACTAATTAGTGAAATTCTGTAGTACACTTTTGATGAATTGTACACAATTTACCGTCAAAGATATCACCTGAGTCTTGTTATATCAATTTTAGCTGAATTCTTGATAAACTCATTTTATAGGTATTTTTTTGGTAAATGAGCACTATTTTTGGGTGAAATCGGTGTTTTTTATTCAAAATCTGTCGAATTCTGTAAAATCAAATAAAACTTAATTTGAATTCAGATTTATATCAATTTATTGAAAGTTTTAAGAAATTCAATTTTTAGGTAAGATTTAATGAGAAAAATGAAGAGCATAATATTGTTATTTTGAGGTGAAAATGGATATTTTGGGGATAAAAACAGATATTTTGTTCAGAAAACAGTGATTTTTATTTTCATTTGTGTTTTCTCAACTGGTCCCTGTGTAAAAAAATTTGGGGTGAAAAACACCTTTTTTGATCAAAAAACAGGGAAATTGCACCTATTAGTGATTGGTAGTTTTTAACTTCTCCAGTCACAGAGAAACCTATTCATTCAGGAGGATGCGGTGTAAAAACACAATTTAGCAGGTAAAACAGATATTTTGGACGAAAAACCCATTTTTGGGTCAACAAAAGGGAAATTGTACTTAATAGTGATGGATATTTCTTAACTTCTCCAGTAACAGGAAAACATGTTCAAGGCGTGTATACCGTGTGTGAAGACGACATTCAAGATATGGCCCATAACCGCCATTTTTTTGGTAATCAAGCAAATGAGGTCATGTAAAGAACCAGCGATTTATCCGACTACTAACTACTCTTGCATGTAATTGTAAAAGTTTATATTAATGTCATATTTTTTTTTTAAATTTATGCCAATACCCAACAAATTTATACCTTTCAGTATTGGTCTAGGTTACAATTTGTGTTAAAACAGTGCAAAAACAAAATGTTAATTATGAAGAGTAATTTCTTTCTAGTAGTATTTCTATATGGTGAAATTGCTAAAAATATACAAATCAACCCTTTTCTTATCTGTCATAAAATGTCTAACAATGTACTGGCTATTGCTGAGATTTCTGTTTCTACTATAAGTCTCTTAGAGTAAAAAGTTGATCCATCATATAACCTTAGCTACTTTGTTTTTGGCTATGTTAATAAATAGAAGTCTATATCCATAAAAAAAAAACTGTTTTTTCTTAATGTGTTGTGATACTTCTAAATGTCTTACAAGGATTAGGTTTATTATTAATGTCAATAGTATGCCAAGATCGTATTTTAATACGAGATATAAGTTACTCAATTTGTTTCTTTAGCACAATTGAAAGCGACTACGCCTAATGGATTTGACTGTAAACCCTGTGGTAGGTCTTGCGAACCTATTTTCTCATTTCTTTGAAACAATAAAAACTTTTCCTATGATCGAACAACCTACAAGCGGAGACCATCATATTAAATATTTACCTAATTTCATATAAAAACAACTTCGTTACTGACTATTCAATGGCTATCTTTACGATATAGTACATGGCAAAAATAGTTTATTCAAAATACTTAAGTATACTTGTATTGTATTGTTTTATTTAGCAAAGCAAACACTTGCCATAGCCTAAAATATGTCAAACAAAGAACCAGAACAAAAAAGCAACCTATTTGCAATCAAAGTCTAATAATTTGAATGAATAATGATAATAAAATAGACAGAAAGAATAGAAATAAAAATTAAAAGATAACTGATCATTCCAACGCAGAACCTCTAAGCTTGGAGGCATCAAAATGAATCTACCTAAGCTTAGAAGTTCAGAGTGGGATCGAGGATTCATCTTCTACGCAAATAGAATTGTAGCATAAAGATAATTTTTTAT